TGAAGCGTAACGGGAGGACCCCATGGGGAGGGACAGCCTGTGCATCTCAGCTGCACACCTGGAATTCTGGCATCCAGTCTTGAGTTCTTTGGCACATGCCACAGTCATGGCAGGCCACTCCGGCTCCTTCCAGCAGAGCAGTGACCTGTCATTGCCTGCTCTGTTGAGCAGACAAAAAGCGCTGGGTCACTTGCCCTGGGATATGGTGATTTCAAGTCTGGGCAGCAGAATGGAGCAGGGCGGAGGCCCTGCGTGTGCCACCTGTCCCTGTCCTCCAGCACCCTCTGTCTTCTGGAAGACACAGAGTGCTCCACCTGCTGGGCTCCTGCCACACCTCACAGAGCCGGTAATGAACAGGTAATGTCTGGTAAAGTCTCCTTTTCTTCCCCAGAGGTACCCAAGCCTCCAGGCTGTGAGATCACAGGACATCCTTGGTGCAGTGACCATCTTAGACAGTAGTGATGAAGTGTGCATGCCACAGTCTGTCATTTTAACTATTTAAGTGCACTTTATGGTAGCATTAGATCTGTCTATGTTATTGTGTGGACTCCGCTGCCATCTGTCTCCAGAGCTTCTTCTTCTTCCCCAACTGAAACTCTGCCTGTGTCCCCGCTCCACAGCCCTGGCAGCCCCGTCTCCATCTGCGTTGGTGGGCTTAACAGTGCTCGGAACCTCACACAGTGCATCTGTGAAGTGCATGCTCTGTGTGTGGTTGTTTCCCGGGCTCAATTCCTCAAGGTCCTTTCGTGCTATAGCGAACATCACAGTATCCATCATAAGGTGGAGTCATAGTCCACTCTGTGTGTGTGTGTGTGTGTGTGTGTGTATGTGCGTGTGTGCACATACCACATGTTGTGTATCCATCCTCCATCGCCAGGCTCTCTGGAACAGTGCTTTGGGGAACACTGGTTGGCCAACACCTACTTGGGCTGCTGCCTTCACATCTCTGGGGTATGGATAATTGCTGGGTCATGTGGCCCTTTGGGGCTTGACATTTGGAGGAATTACTCTCCAGCTCATCCAGAGTTCAATCCTCTTTTTTTTTGTCTTTTTGAGATAGGGTCTGGCTATGCAATTCAGGCTGACCTTGAGCTCACTTTGTAGCCCACACTGGTCTTGAACTCACAATGATCCTCCTGCCTCAGCCTCTCTGAGTGCTGGGATTACAGGCATGCACCACCACGCCGGGCTTGGATCCTCTTATGTTCCTGCAGAGCTCTTGGGTCTTCACAGCCTCCCCAGAACCTGCTTGCTGTGCGCTTGGTGTTTCTTTGTTCTTTTGCATCATGGCTATCCTAGTGGGTGTGCAGTGGTTGTTTCTTTTGTGTCATTTTCCCCCCTTCGTCCTGCTGTTTCCCCAGGCCCAGCTGTCCTCCCTGCCTTTTCCGAGCGAGAGGAGGTCCCTGAAAAGGGATGGATTGTTGAGAACCCTGGCTTCACCCTCATGCTTCTGGGTTGCTGGTTCACTCTTGGGCATTGCTGGAATTCATCCACTGGGTGGGACTCGTATTCCTGTGTCACTGCGGTTGTGATAACTTTAGGTAGTTATTAGGACAACTGCCTGTGTTAGCCAGTGCCGGGCTCAAGTAAGCATTTAGCGTAGCCATCATTATGGGTGTTGTTATTGAGCTCCGTGATCCAGTTCTCCACAAATCCCTGTGGGGCATCACTGCCATGCCCTAGGCCACAAGCTGGCTCTAGTGCCAGCAGGAACAGGAAAAGTCCCTGTTGCCTAAGGTATTGCTGCAGGGTGTGGCTTTTGCTCATCTGACAACCAACTTCCCTACTTTGGCTTTGAGGAAAAAGAGTTAACTTTGCAATGGTCCCAAGGCACTAGAAAAATCCCTTAGGACTTGATATTTAGACACAAATATCAAGACATTCCAAAGACCTCTTGTGGAAAAACTGTAGTTTGTTGTTACATATTTGAGAAAGCAGTGTCTGTTTGAGAAAACAAGCAGAATGTTTTTGTTATTACAAGAGTAAATAAAAGGTGTGAAAAGCAAGTCATTTGGAAAATAGACTAAATTGTTGACCGGTGTGATAGATGTGTTTATACTGTACTTAGGAGATTGGGAAATAGTTTATATTAACAGAAAAGAGATTACTTTAGTACAAGAGGAGTGTTTTACCAATTGAATGCTACCTGGAGAACTTTTAGTTGGACTAAGTCTGGATGTTTGACAGAAATGATGCTCATTGAGAAAGAATATGGAAAATGGTCACTATTCCTGAGTGTGGTTAGTGTGTAGTCGAGCTTTATCCTTCCCGGTATGCTGAGTCCTGTTTGGAAGAGGCAGCGTGGTGGAGAGTGATCCCAGGAGCCAGGTTGAGAGCTCTGCTTATGAACTCAGGGAAGTTGCATCCACATTTGGCCACCAGGGCAGGAAGGGGAGAAGCTGGCGGATTTCCACAGAGAAGGCCTGTGGCCACAGGAGAAGGTGACTGGCTTCACCTTGGTGACCATGTCCCCCCCCACCCCCGGCACCTGCCATGGAGGCTGTGGCTGTCAAGTGAGGGCGGGGATCCCCAGTGGCTAGGGAGTGAGGTCAGGATGGGAGCTGTGGGCACGAGTGTGCTGAGGCCGTACGCTTGGGCTTGTGCCATAAGGAAGTAGTGGGAAAGCACGAGCCGGGCAGAGTCCAGGGCAAGCCAGAGGTGTCTGAGGTGGAGACAGTGGCTCAGGCGTGCTGAAGGACCTGGACAGTACCGTTTCTGATGCGTGGTGCTTAGGAGGCTTCTAAGTAGAGAAGTTTGGCCCGTGGACTTCACCCAACCTCGGGGTAGAGATCTGAGCTTGAGGTAAGGGCTGGGGACCTTGTTGTGTAGACAGAGGAGATGTCGTGAGTCATGAAACAGAGACCACAGATGGGGAGAAGCCCAGGAGTGCTGGCGGGGCAGAGAGCATTCTTAGAGTGGCAGTAGGGCTTGTGGGGTCACCTCAGTGAGTCTGAGTGAGGTACAGGATACAGTATCCTGTACCAGTTGGTTTATGTAGTTGGTATGCAAATATTTGCAGTTGTGTCACCTGGTATTGTGTTGCTCAGCCGAGGTGTTGGCTTGGCCACATGCGTGGGTAAGGGTTCTGAGTGCTCATGACCTTCTGCAGTATAGTCCCTCTTCAGGGTAGTTAATAAAGCTGGGTTTTGTCCTTTCTGCCCTTGGCTTGCCCAGGGAATATTGTTGGCCCTGTAGGCAGGGTCTGGACTGGGGTGGAAGCTCTTGATACCCTTCCCTCGGCTGTGAAACTAAGCCACTTTACTGTCTACCCTGAGTGTCACTTGGGCAGCACATTTGTGTTTGTTCTGTCTGGAGATCATTAAATGCAGGCACCGAGAAAACTCAGAAGCCCCCAGGAGTAATTTTTGTGCATCTGGGTGTGGCACTGAGACTCAAACCCTGGGTCTGTGCATGCTATGCACTGCATTGCATGGCACTGCATGGGCACCCATTGTACCACTGAGCCACACCTCCAGCCCAAGATAAGTCCTTTTCTAATACATTACTTCAAAAAACTCCAAATCCAGAAGAAAACCTATGATAAACAATACTAAAGCTTCAGCAGACCGGATGGTCAGACAGGATGGTCGGTGCCTCTGATCTCTCCCTTGCCTCAGGCTCCAGTGTGGCAGATGGTTAGGGGCGTGAGGTGGAGCTAGGAGGGCTGTCCATGGAGACTAGGACAGCGTGGCGCTGGGGGTGAGGCTGGGGTTGGAAGGTTGACAGATACCAGGGTGGATGCTGTCTTGCAGAGTTCTTCTCAGTATATTAAGCATTCCAACAAAATACAATAATATACAAAATATACAGTAGCCCTTAAAGTGCTGTAATCGTTGTCTTTGAATTTTTGTGACTTTTGCATGTTTGCTCATGGCAAGAGCGGCACTGAAGTCCACACCAGGAAATGTCAAGCTTACATAACTTATTTATGGTGTTAACAAGGAGCCAGACGCAGTCTTTTGTGTGTAACTGTGTTCAGCAGTAGGGAAAGTTAATGATTCCCACTTTTTAGCTAGCCATAAGATTGCTACTGATATAATTACCTGGTTGACCGGTGGGATGGCGTGCTCACGCACTTAGGCATGCTGGTGTGTGCCCCAAGCGTGGACTGTGACTTGTGGCCCTCTTTGCCACTTTCTGGTGAATTGGCTCATGTTGTGCATCCATTTCGCTCTTCCTGGCAGTCAGGATGTGCTGCCTGGAGGAGAAGGAGGGATCCCAGAGTTTTCTGCTGCTGCTCCCATTGCCATGGAGACAGAGAGGAATTCTTGCCAGCAGGAGTCTCCTCTAAAACCCGGGCTTCCCCTGAGAAGCGCAACCCTTCCCTTCCCGTGCTCAGATACAGTTTCCTAAAATGCCAGAGGCCTTTCCAAAAGGACTGCGACTACGGGAATTCTTTTGAGAAACTTGTGCCCGAGAGGGTTAAAACTTCCTGGCCTGGGAAATCCCCTTTCTTTGTCTGCCTCTCTGCCCCCTACTCTTCTGTGGTGCTAGTTTCCTCCTAGCAACGCTCTTCGAGCTGGACCGGCTCCCTGTCCCAGACTGGTGTCCCCAGAGCTGGAGTCCAGACCCTGGTGGGGTCAGGACCAAACCCTGGTGGCAGGTGCCCTAGGGACATCCTGGGCTTTCCTGTATTGTGGAAAGGCTTTGTGTTAGGAATTCAGCCTCTTTAATAGACGGGTATTCAGATCTTCACTTCCTAAGTGTTGTATTAAGTCTGTTTCGGGACTTTCTCTATTCCACCAATTAGCATAACGATTATCCCTTTTAGTATCTGTAGGCTCCTCAGGCTGTTCTCAGTTACTGCTGACATGCACCCTTCATGTTAGGATCCCCTTCTGTGTAAAGGGACGCTCGAGCGACTTGGCTGAGGCAGGGCCAAGTGGTTTGGGAAAGCTGAGCGCCTTGGAGGAAGTGGAGCCTGCGCCTGAGGGTGGAGGAGAGGAAGGAGCGGTCACATGGGCGCTGAGCTCACTGTGGGACACCAGCTGTGCTATTCTTAGGGCTCTCAAGTCCAGCGCAGATGTTCCCAGGCGGAGCTCCAGCCTTGCTCCTTCCCACATATGGCATAATGCAGTGCACGGCGAGGACAGGCTCTAACACGTAACTTTTCCATGAAATACACCACTGTTTTTCCCATGGACTTTTTCCTTTTCTCTCTCTTTCTCTGTCTTTGTTTTGTCTCTCTCCCTGTCTTTGTGTCTCTCCCTGCTGTTTTTTCACTTTCTTTCTCTGCCTTGTCTGTTTCTCTTTGTTCCTTTCTCTCTCTTTTCTCCCTCTCTACCTCCTCCCCTGCCTCTTTCTTGCTTCTTTCTCTGTTTTTCTGGTCCTCACTCTGCCTGTTCTTCTGCAGCTACTGCCTTTTTCGCTCCTTTGAGCCCTCTTTCATAACCTGTGTGGAACTAGAAAAGAACAGAGTGGGACGAGAAGAAAGTTTGCCTATCTTAGATTAAAGTGCACCTTGGCCTTTCACAGAAAGTGTGAGGCAGCAGGTAAGTCCAGGCTGACCTGTGCCTGCTCAGCACTGCGTGGTTAGCGTCCTGCCCTTCCAGCAGGACGGGCGCACAGTTCCGCACACTCTGGGTGTGGTTGTTGGTGGTGCCCCTCTCTGTTGTTGCTGCCCTCGGTCCTCTTGTCAGTGTAGTAAAAGCGTCCCTCACTTTGCAGTGACCCATGTCAGCTGGGAATCACAAGTGAACTCCACGGGACCGACTCACTCACTGCTCTTGCTGAGTTCCTATGGGAAGGGCTGTTCTGCCTTCTAACCTCAGGGTACGTGCTGAAGCGTGGGGAAGCCAGCTTCGGTAGACTTGCTTCCTATTGTTTGGTGCAGAGATGTTGGCGTTTACGTTCATTTTATAAGTATGACATAATTTCCTGATCTTATTTTTATTTCAAAAATAATAATATGAGCAAATGGTGTTTCTTTTAATAATGGTTGCCACTGTCAGAAATACATTTTAAGGAAAGCTGTAATCTGGACATTTTTCCTGCCAAAGAAAGTAAATTCATTTATTTTAGAAAAATACTTGTGCATTTCAAACATTGTTCAGTTGTAAAAAAGATTGGATAAAAAAGCTGAAAGCCTAAACTCCTCTGAAGTTGTGGCGGAGAGTGAAGTCGGGGCCTCCCTCCCGACCTCCCTCAGAGGAGGAGGCCAGGGCTGCTCTGTAAACCAGCAGATGTGGTCTCCATGCCAGGATGGGTGCTGGGTGCTAGGTACTGGGTGCTTACTCCAGAAGCCAGTGGTGGTTCACTTTTGTAGGTGGCCAGCAGACAGGCATGGGTGCTGGGAGGAGCCTGGCTGGACATGGCAGATAGGGGTCTAGGTGTGTGCTAAGTGGCTTCCCTGGCAGCCGGGTCTGGGGCGGCTGAGCAATGGTATAAGATGTGCCAGCTAGAAACAGGAGGCAGCAGAGGCTTTGGACAGCAAAGATGTCCCCCTGGCCCGCAGGCTGCAGTGAGGAGGTAAATGTGATTGGAAGCTGCTGGAAGATTCTGAGCAGGACAGTGACACGAGTTGATGGACTTTTTCTTTGTTTTCATGGTGCCTGGATTGAACCCAGGGCCTTCACACTGAACTACATGCCCAGCTCTTTCTAAAATGTTTTTTGTTGACACAGAGTGTTGTTAAGTTGATAACTTGCCTCGGCTGGGCTCCAATTTATAATCCTCCTGCCTCAGCATCCCAGAGTTCTGGGATTCCAGGCATGTGCCACCACACCAGGTTTGATTGGTTTTTTAAACAGACCCCAGCTGCTTGGTGCAGGGGAGGCTGGGAGAGGGAGGGGTCTGCACTGGCCTGCCTGAGGAGGGGCGGCACTGGCCCAGTGGCTGGGCGCGATGTGCCCGGGCGTTGGAAGCTCTGGCCGGCTGGTGGGGTGGGAGCCGGCAGGTGCAAGTCAGCGTTAGGGCCTGGTCTGATGCACACCGTTGCTGGGGCCTGTGAAATGAGAGTGCAGCAGGAGTTGTCGGGCAGTGGGCAGCAGTTGGACCACAGCAGTGATGGAGTTGGAGGTGACAAGAGCTGAAAACGGGATCTTTTGTGTCTGAGAAAGTCCTTCCCTTGGCAGAAGCAATAAGATAGGCCTGAATCCCAGAGCCAGGTGTCAGTGACGATCGGTGACAGTATTTCCCTCTCCTGTTGGATTTTCTGAGTTGAAAGTTTCTGGCGGGTTCTGGCGCCATTCTGTGGTACTTGCTTAGTATGTGTTGTGAAATTTGCTGCCCTGCGCCTGGGGACAGCCGCGTGTGAGCTCGTAACACCCATTCCCTCATCGTTAGTGCAGCCTCTCTGACGCCTGTGACCCCTTCCCTAGCAGGGTGCAGGGGCGGGAGACTGTAACGAGATTAAGGGCTGAGCCAGACTCATCATCGTCAGTCCGACCTGCTCAGCAGTCTGAGATTAACTCCGTCCCACGGAGCCCTGGCCTTGGGGATGACTGCCTGGGGGTGAATCCAGGCCCACTGCACGGGAGGGGATGGGACGAGCGGGGCTCATGTCCCCTGGCCCAGAGCTAGGTTGAGGGTGCCTGGCCGCAGCCTGAAGAAAGGTGCAGGGTTCAGGTGGAGTGTGGCTGAGGTTTTCGCCAGAGAATCAGAGCCGGAGCCTCCTGGAATCCGGGGTGTTTGGGACAGAAAATCATGGCACTTCTGCAGTCTGTGAGACCATTTTGGGGGTTTCTGTGAGTGAGGACAGCGGGGTAGGCCTGGCTGTTGCCCCTGGTGGGGCTCAGGAGTGCCTCCTCTGTGCCCTGACCCTGGGCTGAGTGTTGCGTGCTGGGTAATTTTAGAGACAGTTTTTACTTTTAATTGACATGCAGTGAGTATGCCTATTCATGGGGTATAGTGTGGTTTTTTGTGGTCCTGGGCAGTACGACATTTTAATTGTGAATATGACATATAACAATCATATCAGGATAATCGGCATAGCTGTCCCCTCAGACACATGTCATCACAGTCCCCTCTACTAGCTGTTTTGAAATAATTAATTGCGGCCAGTCACAGCTGTCCTCCTGTGCTGCAGACCATGAGCAGTCAGCCCTGCCCCCCACACCCCTCTATGAGTGACCTTGCCACTGCCCAGTCACCACCGCTGTGGCTACTCCTGTGGGGGCACTGAGTTTGCTCAGATGCCGTACCCCTGATCGAGCAAGCTTCGCCCCAGCCTAGGACTCTTCCAGGCCTTTCTGCGGTGGACATCAAATAAAAAACACCAGCCGAGAGAGCCAGTGGACTTGTGTGGCTCCTGTGCTGTCTTTTATTTCTTCACTTTTAATAAAATTTCCCCCAAAATGGTGGCACTGAACACTTTTTAATCCCTGAAACAAGAGTGGGGGCAACTGGTATCCATGGAACGCAGCTCATTGTCCTGGGAAGCCGGACTCTGGCTGCTCTGCTTTGGAGCAGAGGCGGCGGGAGCTCTTTCTTCTGCTTCCCACTCAGGCCCGGCCTTTGGAAGCGTGAGCTCTGGGCTGAGTCTCCCTACAAGACACTCTCTTGCTGGGGTTCTTCTAGGCCCATTAGGGCCTTACTCAGTTTTGCTCTGGGTGCTTGCTAATGGCTCAGGGTAATCGCTGGCCCGGGTCTGGGTGAAGGAGGACAGTCAGGTTCATTAGTGGCAGCTGGGCCCCTGACCTCCTGCTTGAAGTGGTGTGAGGGGCAATTAGTGAGCTCTGGTGTGGGGACAAGGGATCGCTGGGGCATGAATAATGCAATCTACCCCATCTCTGTGAGTGCCGGGAAGCACAGCCTTGCGGGTGGAGCCGAGCTGGGCCTCTGGGCCCTCGGGAGCGCTCTGGGCCAGGGAGCCTTAGGTTTCCACGTGTAGACTGAGGCTCTGCATATGGTGGTGATGCACGGAGCACCTGCCCACAAGGTGAGGGGGCTCCCAGCCTCACTCGGTGGCACAGGTGACGTTTGGATTTCACCCTTCTTCCTCCCTTGTCCTGTTGCGTCACGCCAGGCTCTGGTGACTCACCTAGTACCATGACCGTGACTGTGCATTGCACAGCAGGGGCCGGACCATGTCACCTGGAGTTACCTGCCCCTCCTCTGACACTCTCAGTGCTGTCCTTATGCGCCCTGACCTCCAGGCCTCCTTGCCGTCCTGGGCACTGAGACCGCTGTCCTTCCCTTGTGTAGTTGGCCACACCTGCCCCACCTTCGTGGGAGCGGCACAGTCACCTGTGACTGAGCAGAAGGACACCATAAACCAATAAAGCACGGTCACAAGCTCTGCCTGGACACTGCATGTTTCCTCAGCTTCTCGCTGCCTCCAGCAGGGCTGCTGTCTTAGACTCTTCGTGTCTCCTGTGGCCACCTGCCCTGCTGCCCTTTGCCTTCTGCACCCACCCCCTCCCAGCAGAGTCAGCATCCTGGCCTCCCCGCCCGCTGCCCAGCCGGCTGTGCCGTGTGGGACGTGCGCTCTGCCCTGCCTGGGCGGGTTGGCCCTGCGCCTGGCTGTGTCTTCCTGTGGTCCTGTCTGTGGACTCTGCACCCTGGCCCGCAGGGTGCTGCAGTCTCTACCACCTTTCTAGACCTCGTGTGTGCCCGCTGCCTTCTTTGTGCTCTCACTAAAGTGTCCTCTTTCCCTGGCCCTGGCCCTGTGGCCACGAGACGCCTGCACTGTTACCTGCTGCTGCATGGCGGCGCAGGCAGGGGCACTGGGACTGAGTCCATGGGGCTGTGGGGTCTGCGCTGCCCTCACGCTCTCCTCTTACATTCCTTCCTGGCCGCCCAGAAGCTGCACCTCCTCCTTCCCTCGAACTCCAATTCTCCGCCTCCTGTACTGGTGGTTGCAGGTCCCTGTCTCCAGGCACCTTTAGACTGTTGGCGTCCTCAGGGTGCCCTGATCTGTGCCTGCGTGCTGCCCCCGGGACCTCACCAGTGCTGTGGGCGGTTGCCAGTGCTGCTCAGCTCTTGGTCCAGACCTGCCTGCCTGCGTGTGAGGCGGCGTTGTTAACTTTGCGTGGTGCCAGAGAGGAACCTCTTACACAGGGACAGGCTGGCGGGGAGAGAGCTGTTAGTTGAGGTTGATTGTGTGCGCTTGGGCTGTACATGGGGCTTCAGCATGGCAGGAACATGGAGGGAGGAGAAAGAAGGAAGAGCGCACCATGTCCCTCAGCCCCTGGAGGGACCCTAACCTACTCCCGTAGGCGCCCCATCCCTGGTGGTGTGGGGCTGGTGATGGAACCTCAAACAGGCAGCCGTATCCAGACCAAGCTCTGCCTGTGGTATCTGTGCGGTGGGCGCCAGCCTCTACCCACCTGCCCAGGTGTGGGGCTGTCCTACAGCCCAGCCCTCGCCCCTGCTCCCTCTGCCCTCTCCTGACCTGCTGCCCTGTGGCCTGTCGGACGTCCCCGGGCTCTGCTGGACAGAGTGCTATGTGTCTCTCTACTCGGCTGCTAACATGACCCCGAAGCTTGTTATCCCCTGCTAATGCAGCCCAGAGCTCCCCATGGGCCCACAGGAGCTGTGCCTCTTCTGGGCT